ACATCACTGTGCCCATTTTCTGGAGGAGCACACTGAGGCTCAGAGAAGCCGTTGATTACAAACGTGTGTTATACACAGGACACAAGCATAGAACTGTGTGGTCTGAGCCTGTTCTCAGCTGTGGCTCCTGTACTGCCTGGCAGAGAAGGGATGAGAGTTTCACTACTTGATGAGGACAGCCAGGGAGGAACGGAGGAGGCTGGTTGCTCTGCAAAGCTGAAAGGGCATCCTGGCTCGGCTTTCTGTTTGAAAGTCTTCAAGCCTGATGCTCTTAGGCTTCTTCTTCATGTTCTGTTGGTGTTTACGTCAAGACTCTAGGGCACTCAGGTTTGGGCCCAGGTTGGTGCAGGTGTCCTGCACACTCCCATCCTGTGGCTCAGCTCCTTTGAGATGAAGAAGTGCTACTCTACTTTGAATCCGTGTGAACCCTGCCCTGCCCTTTCTATCTGCACAGGCAGAGCAGTGAGCAGGGGTACAGAGACCCATGTGGGGTCCTGGGTGCTTACCCCATACAGGCCAGGCCAAATCACCACACCTATGTCCTTTCACATCGGCCTCCCTGTCCCCCACTGCCAGAGGCACTGCCGTTGTCTCCTGTATGAAAGGGAGCCACATCAGCAAGGTCAAACCCCAGGCTGACCACCAACCCACCAAGCTACACTGACTGGGAGAAGCAGCGGGGAGAAGACCTTTATTCTGCATCTTCATCATTTGGGGACACTTTTGGTTGCCACAATGGAAAACCCAACTAACAGCGCTTAAACACTTCAGGACTTATTGTTCTAATGTAACAAGGAGACTAGCTGTTGGTAGTGGTTTGGCAGATTTTAGGTCAGATAAGCCTTTGATTTGGGGGCTCTCCTGTGCACTGCAGGATGTTCAGCAGCATCCCTGGCCTCCCCCCCACAAGTTATGACTACCTAAAATATCTCCACACATTGGTAAATGTCCCCTGAGTTTAGTCGTATCAAGGACACCACTCTTGACTTTGAGACTTAGTTGAGAACAATGGGGGACTAGTTACAGCGGTTCTCAACCTGGGGTTTGCGACCCCTTTGTAACAGTGAAAATACATCACGGCATTAGGAAGGTTGAGAACCACTGGACTAGTACCAACTGCCTCTGTCTCTTTTAGCAAAGTGGAAACAGACTTCCACTGAAGACTCGCTGGCCACGATCAGTCCATGACATGGCATGGCACCCTTTGTAAAAGTGTGGCTGGAAAAGTAAGTATTTTTCTTACCTCTACAGTATATTGGGTAAGGAAGAAGGTGGGAGTGGCTGCTGTGTAGCCTGCCCACTGCCCATCACAGTCCTGGAACGTTTATAAAAGGGCATCTGTCTTTCTGTGTTTTATCAAACATTAACAGTTAATGACTAATCGCCACATCAATACACAGGGGTAAGACTCATACTAAGACTGTGTCACTTACCTGGGGCTGAGCTGAAAGTTTTAAGTGGAGACATCTTGGACCTGGGTATGGCTTCTGAGATCATGTTTATCTGGAAACTGAAGTGTGCATCTCAGTCCTGCCTCTTGCCTCCTGCGTGGTCCTATCACCTCTTCACTCATCCCTCGGCCCACTCATTTACAAACACTTTCCCAGGTTCCTGGCACAAGATTCCCCTCCAACTGAGAAGTCTGGGGAGCCTCTGCTAGCCAGGGCCAAAAAGAGGCTCCCCAAGTTAGAGTCCTGTGGTGACAGCACCACAAGGGTGGCTGGTACCAGGCCCTGTGCTCTGCCTGCAGAGTCACAGAATCTTCTCATTGACCACATGACAGGCACTATAATTATCCCCATGTTACGGAAGGTGTGCTAAGATGATGCCCAGGCCCAAATGGCTAGTGAGGGCAGGGCTGGGAGCTGTAGCCCTGGCCCTCCTCCCTTCTCTATCCTGCTTTGTTCAAAACCGCACCATAGAGAGCCAAGTTGGTGTTGGTGTGGGTGGGGCCCAAGGTTTTTCTGATAAATGTTTCTGTCACTGTATAGGCAGCACCGACTCAGAGAGCTCAGGGCTAAACGGGGCTAGCATCTGCTGTGCCCTGAGCCTACTGAGAAAGAATCTCTTCTCCTGGCCTCCATTTGCACATCTATGGAAGTCAGGGTTTGGACTGTCCTTTACGGATTTAGGAGTCAAGCTGGCTGCGCTAGAGCTGCCTGAACCCCTACCTCAGTTCACATTGCCACTGGGGTGGTTGGAGTCATTCCCTCCCTGCAATCTAATCCTGACTTTGCCTCACCCGACTTAGCTGTGTGGTCTCGGGCACTTCACTTAACCTCTCTGTGGTTCTACCTGCCTAACCCTCGAAGCAGGAGACAATGTCCTCCTCTGCATGCTGTTGGGAGGACAAAATGGGATCATGGATCCAGCTTGTCATGGTCATTACTGCCCTCAGTTCTGGGGAAGCCACTATGAACCTCAGTTTACTCCCAACACACTGGCCTAAGGGTACTTATATATGAAAAGGTTGTTTTGAGGTTAAATCACCTAATGTCACTCAGTCCAGGGCCTGGCCAAAAACAGACACACCAAGGCAAATGACCTCTATAAGTATTAGTGATGTGTGAGAAATCAGCCACATAAGAGTACCCAGCACTGGAGAAGTACTTACTAAATGGTGGTGGCGGTACTTGTCTCTTCTTCTCCTTTGCATTCTCTGTCGCCTCTGTTCCTTGATCTCACCAATTTTCAGAGGCCTTCCCTGACTCTATGGCACTCTTGGTCCACTCCCCTCCCCCTCTTCTCAAGCTTTATTCCGTGCTTGCCAGGGAAGTTTTACCTGAGTATAAATATAACGTGTCAACATCCTTTCGTCTGTGCTTTGTCTCTCTGGTCCTGGGTGCTGTATCCTTGGGACCTGGGGCCTGGGCCTGGCCCCGACAAGCCATTAACAAGCGTGTGTTCTGATGAATGGAGGATTGTCCAATGCAGGAGTTGATGACACTTCGGGACGTCAGGCCACCTGACGCCTGCAGAGAAGCTGGTGACCCAGAAACTCAAGGGGGCCAGGTCAGAATGAGTGAACGATTGAACACCTGGACAGCAACATTTCCAGATCCTGAGCACCTCCAGCCCCCTTCCGGGCCCGTCAGCAGCACGTGGAGGCCGCCCGCCCCGGCCCGAGTCCCGCCGCCTCTGCACGTGCTGTGCAGCCCGCAGTGGGCTGTGCCGTCAGGGGTGGGGACAGGGTAGCGGCCAGGCGAGGCGGGGCTGTCCCGGGGGGCGGGGCGGGCGGCCCTAGTGGCGCTGGGACTTGTAGGCAGGGAATCTCCTGTGCCTCCGGGGCCACAGGTCGCTGCTCACGTGCGGCTGCCGCCGACCGGGTCCCAGCCCGCCCTGGCGACGGGGGACTGTGCGTCACAGAAGGGGAAACTGAGGCCCAAGCGAGGGGACCCAGTTGGCCCAAGATCGCGCGGCGGACAGTGACTGCCTTCCCTGCCCTCCAGGGGGAAAGTGAAGGTCACACTTTTATCCAAGTTTTGAAAGGGAGCTTCGAGGGGCCTTTGGGTGGTCGGGAGCTTTCCCTGCCCTTTTTTTCCATCGTGGCTTTACTCACCAAACATCTTCCGGGTCCCCTCTATTTCAGCAAAATACACAAGGTCCCTGTTCTCTTGGAGCTTGAACAGCAGTGGGGAGAAGCCTGTAAACAAGCAGGCTGATGTGTGTTGTGGGGGAAAGACTTTGTGAAGACTTGAGGTTTCATTCCCAGTGTTCCTGGGCGAGGGGAGAGAACGACCACGCTCCACTGGCAGCAGCGTGGAGAATGGGTCTAGGGAGTGGGGGAGGGGCTTACGGTTAGTCTGCACGTGGAGCTAAGGCAGCTCCGGCAGATAAAATGCTGGATAAACGCCAGGAAGATGGCGCTGAGCACCTAGTGAACTCTTCGCCTGCCTCGACGCCCCCTCAGTCCATGAGGTGCCACTCTCAGTCCCCACGGACTCTCCCTGTATCCCACTTTGCCAAGACAAGGGCACCGAGTTGGGTCCAGGAGTGCTTCCACAAGCGCTCCTACGCGCATGAAACGCCACTACAGCTGTGCCTGGAGATGGGGACTCCACGGGGGAGGGGGCGCCGCGGGGTGTGACCCACGGGGTGGGGTGGTACTGCCAAGGAGCGGCTCCCAGGACCCGGAAGCAGCTCCAAAATGCCCGGTAGTTGGTTTTTAATGTTCAGCTATTGGGAACTTGAATCCGTGACTTTTGAACAAGGGCCCCTCGTCTGCACTTTGCATCAGGCAGGCAATTCTGTGGCTGGACCTGCTCTTTGTGAAGCTCACGGAGACCACCTACCCCACCCCCCAGCCTCGTTCCCATGGAGGGGACAGGGACCCCTGATACCAGCCGAATGCGAGGATGAGCCCACCCCCCACCACACACCATCCCAGCATCCTTTGGATAGTATGTTGTACATTTGCCTGACGAATTATTGTCTTATTCGTGGGACTCTCGTGGGGCCAGGGAGTGTGATCGTGCCCTGCTGCAGTCCTTGTGCCTGTGTCTCACGTATGGGGGTGGGGGGGCCTGATGAGTTGTATGTGAACATACGGAAATCATCTTACCGTTCTAAAATGAACCAACGTTGTTCCTTAAGTAGCCCTGGCTTAAATACTGACTCAATCATTTACGTTTAATTCACCAGACGGCGGTCCAAGAGAGCAAAAGCTGGCCTTTCCGGTTCAGGGCTGTACCCGGCGGGCAGGCAGTAGTCGCCCCGGACGCTAAGCGCTTGCCAGGTGGCTCACTCCTGCAGGAGCCGGTGCCTGCCGGGGCGGACCCCCGCCGGGTTATTTGGCGCGGCTGGGACTACGCTTCCCAGCGGCCAGCGCGCGCCCGAGACGGGGCGGGGAATCAGGGGCGGGGCCGAGGGTGAGGGCGGGGCTGACTACAAAGCCCAGGGGCGGTGCCAGGGCGCAGAGTCCCCGCGGCGCCGGCCGGGAGCGCAGCGCGGCGCAGCGCGGCGCAGTTCGGCGCGCACGGCAGGATCGGCGTGCGAGCGGACGGGCCTGGCGTCTGGACGGGCGCTCCTAGCTGCCCCGCACGCTCCCCGCCGCCCCCCATGAGTGCAGCCCTGAGCGGCCCGTGTCCATAGGCGGCGGGGCGCCCCCCATGCTGCTGCAGCCCGCGCCGTGCGCCCCCAGCGCGGGCTTCCCGCGGCCCCCGGCCGCCCCCGGCGGCGCCATGCACGGCTCGCAAAAGGACACCACGTTCACCAAGATTTTCGTGGGCGGCCTGCCGTACCACACCACCGACGCCTCACTCAGGAAGTACTTCGAGGGCTTCGGAGACATCGAGGAGGCCGTGGTCATCACTGACCGGCAGACGGGCAAGTCCCGCGGCTACGGCTTCGTAAGTAGCTCTGCGCCCGGGCCTGCACCCCGCCCCGCACCTTATCGCGGCCCGGGGCGCTGAGTCAATTCGGGGGTACCCGCCCAGCCGGCCCGGGGCGCCTCCCGCCGGGCGCCCGCACCTGCCACCACTTTGAGCTTGCCCGCCCGGGCGGGTCCGCCTTCGCTCCCTCAGGCCATCTCCGTGCCCCTCCCCCGCCCCTCCCCCACGCGGTTTTAGAGGGAGACCTGCTGTGTTCATTTAAGACTTACAAGTTTGTAGGGAGGTTTGGGGGCCAGATGGCCACTCTTAGGATTTCCTGGAGCAGCAGCGAGTGAGGGGCAAAGCTCCACCCAGGGGTGCTTTAGAGTCCTTTGGCCCTTCCCCCACGGTTTCAACAACTCCCTCAGCCACCCCAAACAAACATCAACTGAAAAAACGGCGTACAGACACATTTTCTACTTTCTTTCCAAGAACAGTGTGCCACAGTCCTTCCAGGAGGAAATTCTAGGTCTTCACTGGTGGGCAGGATAGACTCATTTAGGCTGGGCTCCCACCTTTGTTTAGAGTTTGTTTTTTTCTTTTTTTTTTTTTTTTTTTTTGCTCCATTTCCCCGGGGGATTGTTTTTGTTTTTGAAAGCAACATTTCCTAGCACTTGAACTATGAGGCGAGGAGCTGGAAATCGGGGGTGGGGGGTGTCTTTGTGAGGAGTGCTCTGGGCTGGGGTTATAGGGGCCTCAACCCAAAAACCTTGAGTGACAGGCACCCTTGGAGGAAAGGAAGAGTGTGGTGCCTTGGCAAAGCCCTCTGCCGCTGTCCCTAGTCCCTCTACAGAAGTCCTGATTCCTCTGTATTCCTTCAGGTGACGATGGCTGACCGTGCAGCGGCTGAGAGGGCTTGCAAGGACCCCAACCCCATCATTGATGGCCGCAAGGCTAATGTGAACTTAGCATATCTGGGCGCCAAGCCTCGAAGCCTCCAGACGGGTGAGAGTTTGTGTTTTCTTTCCCCGGCTCTTCTTGGTTTCTATATTCGGCCTCGGTATCTGTCGGGTGGAAAAAAACACCCTCCCAAGAGTGGCAGTCAGCTATCATGGGCCTGCAAAATGTCACAGAGCAGTCATCCCTGGCATAGGTACTAGATCCTTTCCCAGTAGTATGTGGCCCATTGTACAGGGTAGGGGCAGGTCAGCTGTCCTAGAGGAAGGTAGGGAGGCTTGGAGGTTGAGAACTTCCACACCTGGAGGGTGCTGCCACCTGGGTCCCTTGACGAGGGGGGTGGTCTGAGAGGGGAGAGGAAGCTGATTATCCCTTTTATTAGGCGTGCACAGCCTTTAGGGTTCTGCTTCCCCATATTTGGGCCCTGGGACATTGCCCCTGCAGTGGGACAAAGTCCTTGACCAATCTCTCACTTTAGGCTTTGCCATCGGTGTGCAGCAGCTACACCCCACCTTGATCCAGCGGACTTATGGGTGAGTGGATGTGGCTGGGTGGTCTGGGAAGATGAGAGGAGGTGGGCCTTGGGCTTTCTGGATCTAGGAGGCTGGGGGATGACAGTGTTCAGAAATGGGACTGCATTGAGCCAGGAGAAGAGAAGGCAGCACATGTTTCTCCACCCTGGCAGAGCTACTCCACAGAAAGGAAAGCCTAAAGGCAGGACTGCCCACAAGTCCAAGTGCAAACCCCAGCCCCCTCATGAGTTATATGGCCTTGGGCAGCTCTCAATTTCTCTCTTCTAAAATGGGTATGGTACAGCACATCTGAGTTCCATAAGAGGAGGGCTTAGTGTGGGTACTCTTGGAGTGTTTGCTAATGCTGTTAAGACTGGTTCGCTCTTTGTGAGCACCCCTGACCCACTCCAGTGCTGCACAGATGGTGGCAATAGATTACTGCCAGCCAGGGTCCAGTGTTTGTGAACATTGCTACAGGTGAGGTGTGATCAGAGCCCAGTGTTTTATGTGGCACAGCCTGGGGGCTTTTGTTTGACTTGTTTTGGAGCAGCATGTCCCATCGGTCTTTATCCTAAAACCCTCCAAGCTCCCTCCCTATTTTTTTTAAACATCTCATAAGACCTGGCGGTTGCTTAAAGAAAGACACATACTTCAGGGGCACAAGGACCCAGCCACACAGTGCCTTCCTGGCCCTATGAGTGATGTGTGCTGTTTGCCCCAGTGCAGGGAGTGGGTTTGTGGGATTGGAGTGGTGGAGAGGGCACATCTAAGACAGGCCACCCCTTTTAGAATGTTATAACCTTTTGAGCTTCAGGAGTCCAAATTCTGGCCTTTGGACGTTATGCCTCAAGTTGAGTGTGTGCACATGTGTGTCCACATGCACACATGAATTCTGTGGAAGGCTACACAGCTTGAGGAGAGACCTTCCCCACTGGGGCAGTCTGGACAGAGGCTCCTGTGGAACACAGCTGGGCCTGGCTCACAGGCTGCCAAGCAGGGCCGCCAGATCCCCAGAAGGAGTTGTGGTATGCCCACTCTCTGGATGCACGGCCTTGAGAGGTGGCTTCCATGTGGATTGGCAGGTGTGTGTCAGCTCAGCAGTGGAAGGAGCTGCTGGCTGTGGGGGTGCTTTTGGATGTGGCCTCGGCCCTTCTGGGAGGGGAGCCTGGAGGGTATTGGGGGCAGTGGCTCTGAGTCTCCTTCTCAGCCTGGGATCTGTTTCATAAATGTCTTAGCAGGTGTTTGGGGACACCTTAGGCTTTGCCTTCTTTCTCTGGGGTACGCCACATGAGGAGGACGTTCCTAGTTTCCATTGCTTTGGGGCTGCTGCCCAGAGATCAAAGCATGAGCTTCAAGCGCGTGCAGTGGGACAGGGCCATCTCCACCTGTGTCTGGGCTTGCTCAGATCCATGTCAGCCGCCTGGCACTCTAGCAACAGTCTGAGCCTTTGGAGTCTGCGGACCTGGGTTCAAATCCTGACTTTGTCACTTAAAGCTGGGTCCCTTCTGGCACATGGCATCCTCCTTAATTTTTCATCTGGAAAACAGGAATAACCACTTAAAACAGCGCATGGCATAGGGACTGGGTCTTCATCCTCCCCACATGCCTCCTTCCATCCCCACAACAGGCCTCTGAGATTGGGACTAATACTCTGACTTTGTAGTTGGGGAAACTGAGGCAAACAAAAGGTGAACAACCTGTCTGGGGGCTGAGGTGGAAAGCATCCAGGAGGAGATTTGAACCCCACTCTCAGCTGTTAGAAGGGTCCACCTGAGTGCTGCCCAGCTGAGAGGAGTCAGGCTGGTCACAGACTGCTGCTATGTGCACCCAATTTCAAGCAACAGTGTTTTGTAACTAAATCCACTGGCTGGCCATTTAATACCTGTGATGAGGAAGAGGCCACTAACTCTTTATTTGTTGGTTGCCAAGGGGTGGAGACCCAAACAGGGGTGAGGGTTCAAGGGGGCAGTCCGCTCTTTATCACCTGTGAGCATCCAACTGAAGCCTCTGAGAATCGCGCCCCCCCCCCTGTGCCTGGAGTTGCTGAGGTCCAGGGTGGCAGGAGGGCCCCTGGGTGTACCCCTGGAGAGGCAGCTGGGCCTGGCTGCCTGGGTCAGCTGTCTGCTTGTAGCTCCCGCCCGCCAGCCAGGCTAGAGAATTGGGCCGTCAGCGTCCCTTTTGTCTTTGCAAACAATCAGGCCCTGGGAGCTACCCGGCCTGACTCAGCGGACAGTTTTGTCAGCCTCAGGCTGGCAGCAAGGCTGGCAGCAGGGCCAGGCCTGCTGTTGGCTGAGGGCGTGGTGGGAGGTGGGAGCCCCGAGCTGGGGCAGCTGAGGTCTGTCCACTGGTTAACCCATCTCCTCCCTGACTGAACTTGTCCCAGACTGGCCCTAGTCACAGGCCCTTGATAGTTTCAAAAATTCACAGCCACACTTTTGGGCAAGACCACTGTGGCGTCTTGGCTGACTGCGTTGTGAATGTCAGTTTAGGAAGATCCCCCCCAAACTTGCACACTTTGTTATTTATTTGGATTTCTCTGCCTCTGTTTTTGTTTCTTACGTTGAACATACTCTTTGAGGACCTGACCCAGCCTGTGCATTTCTGTCACCTGTCTGTATGGGGAGGGCCAAGGCCCAGAGTTTGGGGAAGCCTTCCTCAAGAGGGCACTCTGGAAGCCAGTGCCAGATAATCACGGGAGGAGCCAACTGAACATCCCTCTGCCAGCAAGTGGGGCGGGCAGGGGTTTGGAGAGTGTACGTCTAGGCACAGTGTTGGTCTGGCCTGGAAGGGCCTCCTGGCGTCAGGGTGTCTGTCCAGCCCTGGACTGGCTGTCCTTGGGTCAGCTGTTTCTGTGTGTGCAGGTCCCTCTCCTTGTTCTTAAAGGGGCCTTGTGGGCTTGACACTCGTTCTATAAGAGTGTCATGCCAGGCATGAGACCAGGCCCTAGGGTTGAGACAGCAGGACAGGGTTCCTGGGGCTGAGCATCAGGTGTGCTGTATGCTAGAGCAAGGACTCTGGGGTCTGCTCAGGGCCAGGCTTGTCTGTGTCATGGAGCTGATGACAGTGCCTCCAGGGCAGGCCTGACGTGAGGAGAGGGGGCTCCTGTGTACAGAGCCTGTGCGCCAGGTAGGCCTCAGTTTGTCAGAGAGCATCCCTGCCACAGGACCTGGCAACTGTCCCTTATGTGTAAAACCGAGGCCAGAGCAATGGAGAGACTTGCCTGAGCTCACACATGTGGGTGGGAGTCCTGAGTTGGGGGCTTTGAGGGCCTTCTCCTTTCCTTCCTCTCTCTGGCCCTGTGGCAGCTCTCAACAAATCGGACCCTCCTGGGCACATACACCCACTTGGTATGTAGTTTCAAGGACCCTCTGTGACTAAGGTCCCTGGTGCCCATGATGAGACACGTCACCAGGCCATGGGAGTGTGCATGTTGAGGGGCCTGAGCAGAGGGCCTCTGTCCCTAGGGCAAGAGGAAGGTGCAGGAAAGGTCCTGGGAGATGTCTGTGTTCTCCCCACCCCCACCCGAGAGTGGAACACACGGAGCCGCCCCATATTCTGTCCTTCCTCAAGTGTCTGTTAAGCACGTGCTGTCTGCTAGGCCCTGTGCCTGGGGTACTTTGAATGAGAAAGACACTCTTCATCTCAGGGTGCTCACAGTCTGTGCATGTGCATGTGTGCCTGGATGGTGACAAGCAAAAGTGAGCAGGGACCTGGCTGAGGGAGTCCCTTTGTGGAGACTGAATAGTTGGGTGTCTCAGATGTCACACAGGGTAGACATAGGGACATAAAACACGGTAGATGCAGAAAATGGGGCGTCCCATGGAGGCCTTGAGTGTAGTACATAGCGCTGTGGCTGTGTATTTCCTGGTTTTGATAATACACTTGGTCGAAAGAGATGTCCCCTTAGGGGATGATGGAGGAAGGGTACATGGGACCTCTTAGTCCTGTTTTTGCAACTTCTTGGGAGTCTATTATTCTGTAATTCAAAGTGGGAAAGTAGAGCCAAGACAGGGGTTTGCCGGTTGTGGGGGCATGCATATATGCATTATGTGCCTGTGTGTGTGTGCGCCTGCGCGCACGTGTATTGGAGGTGGCCCTCTGGGGAGTGAGGAGGTTGGCCCTGTGGGCACCTGCAGAGGAATGGTCTGGGCCTGAGCAGCAGGCGCAGGGTTGAGGTCAGAGGCCAGGGGGAATGGGGAGGCCAGTGCCCCCACTGTGGCATCACATTTGTGCCCTTGGGGTGTCTCTTTCGGTGGTGCCGCCTGCTCCCCCACCGTGGCTTCCTGTTTGGCAGCTTGTCTGGAGCGAGGCGTGGGCTGGCGCTGTGGCCCTCCCAGCGGGCGGGCGGCCCGTGCTGCACCTGTTGTTTGTCCGCGGCCACTGTAACAGAAACCAGCCTTGGGCGGTTACAGGGTTCTAGTCCTTCGGCCAGGCCTGGCTTGCCCTGGCAGGGTCTCCTTCTGCTTGGCCTGGACAGCCTCTCTGGAAACCTCAGGCCAACAGGCCAGGACCTGATCACAGACACAGGTGTCAAGGCACAGTTCTGACCTTTCCTTGTCCAGCCTGTTTCCCCATCATCCCTGTGGATGTGATGAGTGCTCTGCAGGGTGCTGGGGCCATCTGGGCCTTTCTCCCAGCCCCACCTGTGTGGGTAGAAGGAAGGAGGGAAGTGTGCATCAGTCACTTCATCCAGTGGATACTTGCTTTGTGCCGGGCTGAGGACACCGTCAGGGTGAGAGGAGACCTGGTTCCAGTGCCTCTGGCAGCGAGGTGGTGAAGAGGGGAGACAGACCAGAAAGGGAACAATTAGGTCTCAGGTGCCAGTGAGAGTTTCAGAGGCAGGGAGGAGGAAAGAGGGTGGGGAGGGAGGGAGATAGGGTCAGGCCCAACCAGGTGGCCTCAGCTCAGGGAGGACGCTGGTGCCCCAAGGGAGTGCTGGGACCTTGCTCTGATGAGGGGCCACAACAGGCTCTGAGTAAAGGATGGATGGGTCGATTTGCATATTTGCTTTTGTTTTGTTT